CTGGTGGGTTTGGATGTTGAACTTTCTGATCAAAGCAAGTCATCAAACCAATAGGAAAGTTACTTGACTGTGCTTTGGATGCTCTGCTCAAACCCAATCAAGTTTTATCATGATTTTGTCTGCAGTTTTTCTACAGCTCTTGCCACTACTGCTTCTCGACTGGCTGGTGGGTTTTGTGAACAGCTTTGTAATTAATGTCAGTTTACATATACCGAGAGAGCTACTAGCTAATTCCTAAGCTCTTAAAGCCGAATTGTACTGTCAGAGGAGACTATGGAATTGTGATGCTTTGTTATCGTATGGAAGTTCTTTTCCGATTAAAAAAGTGAAAATCGTAGCATTGAGCATCGTATCAAAGAAGATTACCTCTCACCTAATTTGTTACTTTTTCAGGAAAGACCAACACCTTCCATATAAAATAAACTTATTTAAAAAAAAAAAAAACCTATTCCTCGGCCAAATGGTTACGGAGAAGTAATGAACAATGACCCCAAAGACGATTGAAATATGATCACGGAAGACGATTGTTTTATTGATAAAAATTTCTCTTTACAAAGAGAAACTTTTGATACAAACTAAAAAATAGCACCCCTCGGAGAAGTGAACCGATAAAAATAAAACACCACAATTACAAAGGACATTGAAAACAACATAAATGATTACCACAACTGACATTAAATATTGTCTCAAGATTTCTCTTTAAAATGCCTTTCACAACTCTTTGTTTTGTTATATATATATATTAAGACATAAGGGGAGGAATGCTTTGTTCATGTTTAAAGAAATTGTCTGGATCAATCATTGTTTTCACGAATACTAACTTGTCAAAATTATTCTTAAAATATTTGCGGCCCCAAATACTCGCTTGAGCATAACTTGTCATGTTACCTTTGCTGTTCGTTCCAATGTCATTATCTCTATAATTAATATATGCTTCTCGTGGAGATTTCGCAACGAATGAGCTCATGAAACTGTAAAATTTTCTGATCCACCTCATGTACTTTTGAGATTTTATCTGGTCTCCTTGTTGCCAGCCCACAGTATATGCAATTTTGTACATATTGCCAGCTCTGTGCGGAAATGGAGTTGCAGACTCTGGAATCTCAGCCATTTTTGCCCCATAAGCAATAAAACCCATAACAGCAGATTCTGCATCTTCTTCATAAAATTTTGACCATATCCCTTCGAATGCAGCCTCGGGTATAGGTTTTTTCACATAGTCAGATTTTGTTTTGAAGGCTGGACCATTGAGAGTAGTCTTGTAACTCCTGTCGAGTAAAATATCCAAGGATTTGTTTTGAACTTGACCAAAATAGAGGATAGATTCAATCCAACTCATTTCAGTGCAATCTTCCTTCACCAGCCCGAGCTCGGGAAATCTCTCTTGCATCAATGGAATCAGCTTATGAACTCCACCAAGAAAAAAGGAACTGAAGGAAGCTAGGATTGTTCGTTGGCCATGTTTACTAGAATTCACCCTTCTCATTGTAACAGCAGAGAATATATCACCAGGAAGCTTGGGCGCAACGTATTGCCATCGGTGAACAAGTTTGGTTGCATTTTGTTCCAAGGTCTTGCTGATTCTGAATACCGTCACAGTTGCTGGAACAGAAACTAGCTTTACTTTCCACGCAATAACAATTCCAAAGCTACCTCCTCCACCTCCTCGAATGGCCCAAAAAAGATCTTCTCCCATTGATTTTCTGTCAAGAATTCTTCCATTAACGTCGATAAATTGAGCATCAATTATGTTATCCACGGAAAGACCGTGTTTTCGAAACAATAAACCATAACCTCCTCCGCTGAAGTACCCACCTATTCCCACAGTGTGACAAATACCAGCTGGGAAGGCAAGAGTTCTACTTTTTTGAGCAATTGCATGATAAAATTCACCAAGAATTGCACCAGATTGAACCCATGAAACTTCATTCTTTACATCAATATCGACTGATCGAAAATTAACCAAATCAACAATAACAAATGGAACTTCAGAGACATATGAAAGACCTTCAAAATCATGGCCGCCACTCCGAATTCTAAGTTGTAGGCCATGTTTTTTTGAACAAAAGATTGTTGCTTGAATATGAGAAGTATGCAATGGTGTCACAATGACCAAAGGTTTTGGGGTAGTTGGCGTGGAGAATCTAAGATTTTGAATCAAAGACTCCAAAATTGATGAATAAGTGGAATTGTTTTGCATGTAGATGACTTTAGAGATGGAAGGTATGTCTTTGGAATGAAAAGAAGAAAGGCAATGAAGAAAATTATTGTCATGGGCATTTGCTGAAATAGTCCATGACAATGAAACGAGACCAATCAAAAGAAACAGAGACATTGAAAAGTGAGAAGACTTCATTTTTGAAGCTGATTTAAGGCATGTCTGTGTATTAAGATTTCTCTTATTTATAGAAGAGAGACCAATCCTTGCATACGAATTTGAAGATGTAAATTTTCTAGGTAGGGCCGCTGCTGTTTCTTGAAATTTTGATCAACTCGGACTTTGCGTTAAGACCATAAGCAAAGCTCCAAAATCGAACGCACTGAAATTCAATCCATGCATTTCTTTATTGTTACTTTTCGTTTAACAATATAATTAAATTAATATAAATTTTTTATTAAAAATTTTTCAATCATAATTATAATAAATTTTATTATTATTTTTAATTTTATCATAATTAATCTTATTATTCATTCAAATAAAACTTTAAAATATAATAAGGTTAAACTCATGAGATCCGTCACCAAACAGTAAAAACCCCACTTGTTCATATATATTATTATAATTTTAGAGAGATATCATAAATCTTATATTAAAATTAATTTTAAAATATAAATATTATACAAAATTAATTCTGATATATAAGTATTTATACAATATCTTCAACTTATAAGACAATATTTGTAATAAAATCGTGAAGTTCAATAAAATTAATAGACCTTGACGCAAACCAAAACTCAATACTGATCGGAAAAGATAGGCCCGTGCACACTCACAATTGACCACGCTTGTCAGCTACATCAGCTGTGTACGAGATATAAGGGCATGAGTTTAAGGCACAAAATGCTAGACCATATTATTCCTACTAATTCTCTTTCTTATCATCTTTCTCTTCCATTAACAAAATTTAAAATTTATTTTAAGTGAATTTAATCTAATTTTATATTAAATTTATTCGATTATAAGTTTATTTATTTTTTATTAATTAATTTATTTGATTAATTCATTAATTTTTATATAATAATTATAATTTTTCTTATACTAATATTATATATAATTAAAATAAGTAAATGCATCCATGAGATTTTCAATGTATCATTGAAATCCATCAAGTAATATTTAATTTAATACATACCCAAAAATACATATATAAGATCTAGCTAGCCCTTGCATAGAGTCTAGATCCACCAAATTTCATCCATCTATTTCAATTATTGGTTAATTGTTTTTAAAAAAAAAAAACAATTACACTAAACCAGAGTAATAGTGACATTAAATATAATAATAAACAAATATGAATTCCATCTTAAATATTCCATAAAATATTTCTCTTGTGCTATTGAATTGTTTTTATGGGAATAAGATAGATAAGAAAACAAGGGGAAGGAAAACATGTTTTAAAAGAAATTAATGTGATAATAATGATGACAATGCTAAATAAATTTTGTGATTCACCTTAAGATTTTATTTTGACTTTCAGACAAAACGTGTTCCACGAGTTCACCTATCTAATATTTATTTATTATTATTTGCATTCCGTTTTTTTAATATAATATTTTACTTATCACTTTATCATGAAAAAGGTATGAGAACAATTTGTCCCAAGTGGGTCCAAATTTTAGCCCAAAAAAAGTAGCGGTGTGCATGATTAATCTTGCTGTTAGCATATTAAACATGATGAAATTTGCTGAAAAGATAGAGATAACGATGAATTTATTTTTTATAAACCTTTTGCAATGTGATATTTTTTTAATAATATAATTAATATTTTTTTTATAAATAAGTAGGGGAATTTTATTTTTTACTTAGACATATTCTCTTCTCCTAACAAATTAAAAGCACATTTTTCGCATCAATTCCCTAAAGTTAGGATTTTTATTCATACGATTTTTTTTTTTCGGCCAAAGAGCAGGCCAGCTCAGTTACAGTTTGAAGGCTTAGGCCTTTGTTATCCTAAAATATCATCTCTACAAATTTCATGATACCGATAGCTTCATTAGCCTCTTTTCCTCTGAAGGCCCAAATAGCTAACAAATCCATACTAAAGAGGAGTTGCTTATATTGGTAAATCACATGAAACAAAAGATTTTTTTTTTTTTTTTCATGTAATTAGAATACTTATAATTGCAATCATAATATCAAACATGCCTTAATGTTTTTTGCTCACTTAAAAATGAAGAGATTTATTGTTAATAAAAGGTGAAGATAAAAAAAAACTTTATTAATTGAAATATGAGATTTAATTCAAATGATTAATCTATTTTTTTAATAGTTTTTTAAGTCTTGACTTTTTTTGTAAAAAAAAATTATTGTCTAATTTTCTTAAAGAAGAAAGCAAATTCTGGTCAATCAAAGTAATTTAAAGACAATTATGGAACTTATTATGTTACAACTAAATCAAATTTCTTTTCTTTTTCTTATTTAATTAATTATTTTGTTTTTTTAGGGTGGTTTTGATGTTCTGTTGTTTGTATTTTTGGAGTCTTATGCGTTGTTTGCTCAGTCGAGCATGTGAGCGATTCTTATCTCTCTTATTATTCCTTTTATTTTTAATTAATATGAATTGGCTTGAAAAAAAAAAAAAAAACTAGTTTTGTTTGAACAGAAATGCCACGGCCGGCTCATGCCCGGGGATCCGGGAGTCTCAATCACAGTTGACGGTCGATTAATTGAACCGCTGCAGTCAGCGGACTCTCTTTGAACAATTAGGACAAGAAGAAATCAAAATATTTGACTAGAATCAGAATGCAAATTGAGAGAGGGGCAATCAATTGGCAGAGGGAATTGATTATTTATCAATTCAAATTAAAAAGAAAATATAACATATGGAGTCATTGTATAATCTCCTTAAATATAAAAAGAAAATAGTAAATAGTCTTTATTGCTCATCAATCATCATAATATTGAATGACATATGGAGTCAAATGCTGAAAGTATACGCTACACAATAGCTGCTAATTAATAACATAAAGCAAAGCCGGCTACACATCAAATTTATTAGGTTGCACATTCAACTCATACTATTATCTCTCTTATTTAGTTAAGAAAATCGAGGAGGAATACTTTGTTCATGCCTGAAGAAATTCTCAGGATCAATCTTCGTCTTCACATGTACCAACCTGTCAAAGTTCTTCTTGAAATATTTACGACCCCAAACACTTGCTTGCACATAACTTGTTCTGCCTTCGTTATTCATTCCGATGTCAAGATCTCTGTAATTAACATACGCCTCTCGAGGAGATTTCGACACAAAAGAGCTCATGTAACTGTAAAGTTTCCGAATCCAGCTTATATACCTTTGAGAATTCATGTTCTCCTCTTCTTGCCACCCTATGTTGTAATTTAGTTTGTACAAGTTGCCGATTCTATGCGGGAAAGGAGTTGCAGTCTCTGAGATTCGATCCATTTTTCCCCCATAAGAAATAATGTTTAAAGTAGCGGATGTTGCTTCTTCCTCCAAAAGTTGGGACCATATCCCCTGCAATGCAATTTCAGGAATTGGTTTCTTCACGTAATCAGATTTTGCTTTGAAGGAAGGGCTAAGAAGCGGACTTCGGTAACTCCTGTCAAGTAAAATATCCAAGGTTTGATTTGGAAGTTGGCCCAAGAAGACAATGGATTCAATCCAACTCATTTCAATGCAATCTTCTTCAACTAGTCCGAGTTCAGGGAATCTCTTTTGCATCAATGGAATAAGCTCATTTGTACGACCAAGAAACAAGGAAATAAAGGTAGCTACAACTGTCCTATTCCCATCTTGAGTAGAATTGATCGTTGAAATCAAAACGGCGGAGTATATATCGTCTGGAAGATTGTGTGCAACGTATTGCCAACGATGAAAAAGTTGGGTTGCATTTTGTTCCAAGGTCCTGCTTACTGAGAATACAGTCACAGTTGCTGGGACAGGAACCAACTTTAGTTTCCATGAAAGAACAATTCCGAAGCTTCCACCTCCACCTCCTCGAATGGCCCAAAACAGATCTTCCCCCATTGATTTTCTGTTGAGAACTCGCCCTTTAGCGTCAACAAATTGTGCATCAATTACATTATCTGCTGCAAGACCGTATTTTCGAAACAATAAGCCGTAACCTCCTCCGCTAATGTATCCCCCAATTCCCACAGTGTGGCAAAGAGCACCTGGAAAGGCAAGAGTTCTGCTCTTTTCAGCAATTCTGTAGTATAATTCTCCGGTAATAGCACCTGATTGAACCCATGCAACTTGGTTTTCTACATCAACATCGACTGATCGAAAATTAACCAAATCAACGATGACAAATGGAACTTCAGAGACATAGGAAAGACCTTCAAAATCATGACCACCACTTCGAGTTCTAATTTGAAGCCCATGTTTTCTTGAACAATGAATTGTTGCTTGAACATGGGAAACATTCAATGGTGTTACGATAACCAAAGGTCTGGGGGTAGTTGGCGTAGAGAATCTAAGATTATGAATCGAAGACTCCAAAATAGATGAATATGATGAATTTCTTTCTGTGTAAATAACTTGAGAAATGGAAGATGAATCCTCAGGATGAAATGAAGAAAGGCAATGAAGAAAATCTTCGTGGGTATCAGCTGAAGTTGCCCATGACAACGAGAAGAGAACAATAAAAAGAACTGGCAATATTGAGTAGTGAAGAGACTTCATTTTGAAACTGATTTTGAACCTGATGATTTTGTGAAGAGTTCATCAAGAGTTCTCCTTATTTATAGAGTTATGGGCAATGCTTTGAGTCGCCATGTGAACAAAATTGAAGTTTCTCAGCCCGCGCGGTATAAGTTGATTCTAGAAAGTAACTGTTACTGGTCAACATATGTAGCATGTTGGTCTGCCTCATTCATTACCATACGTAATTAATTGCGTTTGAATCGCCCAAAATTTGCCTAAGAACATCTCCATTCTCTAATCGGTAATGTCATAAGACTTGATAATTTATGTATTATATGTATCTATTTCATATAAAATATAAAAATTATTATATTACAAGCCATGTTAAACACATATTATTGTTGTCAAATAAGTATTATTTTTGTCACAATTTTAAATTATATTATTTTTTAAAATCGACAGATCTAACAATTTGATTTTAAAAACTTTAGTTGCTCGTGACCGGTGCTGTCTTCGACTACTAGAGATCCAATGAACCAGTTTCCAAAATTGAACAAAATTTAATGACAGCATTGTCAATTACAATATCAGAGGATGAACAAAATTATTTTGTCATTTTGTCTCTTGCTTTCAAAGAAGGCGACTCTTTTATTCTATGCAGTATAATTGAAAAACTATATATAAATGGAAAATTATAAATCTTTGAATGATCATAGGGCAAGTGTCACGTACGTACCAATCTTTATTTATTTATTATTTCTCTTGCATACGTATGCTAAATGTTGACATGCCTTAATGCTTGGGTTTTGCGAGAGAGAAATATGAGAAGATGCTTGGAAGGAGGAAAAGAAAAACGAATTTTCTTTTCATGATCACGTGCCTTGTTAGAAGTAAAATAGAGATTAGAGGTAAGAAAATGAGAGAGATTATCATTTCTTTATTTATAATCACAAAAATTAATTATTTAAAATTGAAAATAATAAAATCAAAAAAATCGAAAATAAATGAGTCTTGTAAATTTACATTGTTGTTCACATAGAAGTATTTTGTTTCAGTTGTCCATATCTATGAAAACATTATGAGATTATTTTACAAATAAAAACACAATCACAGTCAACAATTTTAAACATACATGACTTAACAATTATATTCAGTATAAAAAATCAATGAATTAATAGATTAACATAAATAAACTCAAATCCATACCTAAAGATTTCAAAAACTCCATTTTAATATGGAGACTAGGTCATATGGGCTATTTAAAAAAAAAAAACTTGTAATGAAAAAAAAAATACAATTAGTTTTTAATTTTTACATGTCATTCACAAGTCAGGAGGAAATGGAATTAAAATATATACCCATATAATTAATGACAACGGTGATAAATTATTGAACTTTTAATTTTAATAATTAAGATTTAATAATTTCTGTCAATTTTAAATATAAAAAAAAATAAATATATGGTTAATGATAATTATATGAAGGCAGCATAGTTACTGTTGCAAGCTAAAAAAATTCCAAAGATTTTGGGGTGGACGGTTGCATAATCTGGATATATTGTGGACACGTAACTGTAGAAGTCCATTCCATCTTTTGCCACAGCTGCCGCATTTTTCAAACACCGTTAATATTGACCAACCCTATCGCCAAAGCCAAAAAAATAAAAAAAAAAAAATTGGCCTAATTAGAACTGCTTTCATACACCCAAAATTAAAACTATGTTGTTATCATTTTTAATCTGAGAAGAAACAAATTAAGTTGGAAAAACATTATTAAAGCCCTCTAATTGGATATAATATATGATATGATATGATTTTTTTTAATCAGAAATGATAGTATAAAGGTTAAATGTTTATTTCTTATTTTAGGATTAAACCTGTTATTTTCTTTTTTTTTTTTCAAATTAGGATGCAAGTTTTTCGATTTTATGTATTTTAAGAAATTTTGGTAAATAAAAATTAGTATTTACCATTAATGAGATTAAGTATTCTCACATGGGAGTAATTTTATTTGCTTTATTTAATAAATTCAATCTATCAATTTAAATTTTTATTTAATAACTTTTAATAAAAAATCACGCCAGACCTAAACCATCTTGCTTAAGTTTTACCTTGATGTTATTTCTTTTTTTTTTTTTTTAATACCTTGATGTTAATTCGTAAAATAGATAAACACATGAAGAATAGCCTCATGAATATATATATATATATATATATATATATAATTGCCTAAATGGCTAAATTACTAAGATGATTGCTTGGAAGTTGGAATGAAAGAAGGTAATAGAAATTTGTCTTTCCAGGAAAAGTGGAAGGAAAATTTTCTCTGCCCTCCATGAAAATACGAACCGTGCCTATTAAAAGTCCAACATATTGTCTACAGGACTTGATGAAAAATTTCATCCACGCACGTGGTGATGTTTCTTTTGTTAAAATGTACATTATTTTTACTTATAAGATTGAGCCTAAGTTTTTGATATATCTCTTGGGCTTTAAATTTATTTATGTATTTGTATATTTGTGTAGTACAACTCTAGAAATAACATTAAATTTTCCCTCCTCAAATCTATCAAAACTTTCGATGATCGCGATTTCACTTAGTTTCAAGTTAATTTGATTTATTATTGTTTGACCCTTTTCTTTTTCTCTCTTATCTTGTTCAGTGGTTGTTGCATTTTATTTTTTGTTATTTTGTGAAATTAGGTGAAACTGGTTTTTTGCCATTGATTATAATTTAAGTTTTGTGAAATTAGAGTTGTCTTTGTCCTTTTCTACTTTTATTCATTGGCTATGAGTTGATTAAATAATTTATTGGTTTTGGATTGTTTACATGAGTAATTGGCTTCTTTGTTTCATTTGTTACGGATTGATTAGTTTATTGACTTAATTGTTAGGGATTGATCAATTTATTGGCTTTGAATTATTTTTGGCTTTCTTAGAATCATTACAACCAATTACAGTGAAATTAGATGAAACAAACCATTCATTGATCTTATTTGATGTGAACTTTTTAAAAGAAAAATGACTTTAGAAATATGTTATAGTGATAAAAATGTCCAAAAGCTCATAACGGACTGAAAAATTTTGTGTCTAAATATTACAATGGGAGATTAATAATATCAAAATTGTTATTTAGATTGCTAATACTATTGCTCCTTCATTTAGTATGAAGCTTGGGAAATTTGACACTGCTAAGAAGGTTTGGAAGTAACAACTCTATAGGTAATAACTTTTCTACTTCTACATTGTCAACTATTCCATGTACTAATTCTAAGCATTGGATCATTGATTTTGGAGCTTTTAATCATATGACTATAGATACCTAATTTTGTCTAAGCATGTTCTAGTCTGTCGTGATGTTGTTAAGATTGAGACTCAACTCATATCCAAGTTTCCTTTAGGATTCATGAGTTTTCAAAATTGAATTTTAAGTTAAAATGACCAAAATGCCTCATGGTCAAACATGGTAAAAAATGATCAAATTTGATCAAATTTAGTCAAACTCAAGTCAAACCCTAGAATTCGCAATTGAATATGACTATTAAGATGTGAGATTAATAAAATTATGATTTGGATTCTTTACAATCTTGATTGCATCTCATAAAGGTGAAATTACCAAAATACCTTTTAGGAGTATTTTCGTAATTTGGCCTTTTCAAGGTAGATTTTTTGTGACAAACTGCAGATTATTTTGATATTAATTCATGAATTTTGATACATTGAAAACTTTGATTGTACCTTAGAAAAAAATGAAATTACTTACATATCCGTTAGGGGTATTTTAATAATTTGACTTTCTCAATGTCGATTTTTTGCGAAAGCTCTAGACATGTTTTAATATTATTTCATAAATTTTGATACATTCAAAACTTGATTATACCTAATAAGATGTGAAAATACTAAAATACCCTTTAGGAGTATTTTTGTATTGTGACTTTTTCGATGCTGATTTTTCACAAAAAGGTACAGATCATAGTTAAATATTATTTTATGAGTTTTATTCAATTAAAATCAAGAAAATAAAAATTGGATCATAAGATTCTAGAGAACATCATGGAAAATGCTTAAAACACTAATAGAGGTAAAATTATCATTTCATTTGCCATAAAGTGATTGCCACATATCTGCCAATAGAATATGCCATGAATAATGAGGACCATTAGATTTTAGAGGACACTAATCCAATGGTCCACATTATGAGCTTGCCCATCAAACTTGATAAAACAAACAAATGATTTTGCACCATAGGATAAGATCTAATCTAAGGGCCATTAGGGGCATTTTTTCTAACTTCAAGTCAAAATTGAGGTAGTGTTGGTTGGCAGAATAAAGGGGAAAAAAAAGACAAAAGTTAAAAAAAAAAAAAAAAGGTGAAAGGAGTGAGCCTTAAAAAAGGTAACTATTTTATGTTTTTGTTCATTTTTTTTCCTTAATGCTTTTCATGTATGAGGTTCTAAAAACCTTTGTTTTCTTTTTTATTTTGGGTGATTTCATGCTAAAAAAAAAAAAAGCTTTTGAAAGCATGAAGTGGGACTTTCCTTAGAGTTTTTTTTTTAATCTTGTAAATATGTCTTTGAGATATAATTTCATTTGTGTTTGTTTTGGATTATTCAGGGGAGTTTTCAAGTTCCATTTTATACTAGCATTTGCTAGTTTGGAGAAAAAAAAAAGCAATTTTCTCTTTAGTAAACAAAAATGCTTTCAAGATATAAAGAAAGCTAAGGTGTCAAGGAGTTTAAAGTTCAAAAATGGTTTTTCATACATGATTTTAGGGTTGCGATTGGTTCTACCATTTATATAAGTTCAAAGTTTAATTTTCTTGCTATTATTTTCTAGTTTAAAATATGGGAAAGAAGTCTCCCCTCTTTTTTTTAAGAAAACTTAAAGCTTTTTAAATTTTGTTTTAAGGATGGTTTGTAAGATAAGAATAGTTAGATAGAGCATTGGGATTCAAAAATTACCTTTTTTTTGCTCTTGAGAACTTGAATCTTAAAGTAGTTTTATTATTTTCTTTTTATGGTGTGTTATTTTAATTTTAAGCATTTCAAATCCCATGCCTTTTAATTCTTATATTATTAAAATTCTCATGCATCTTACATTCTTTACCCATATATCTTAATTATTTCTATCATATTGTTATGTACTTTTTATCAATTTGTTTTTATTTGGAATGT